GAGGGCCTATAGAACGAAGAAAGCTTCACAACTCCAGCGACGTCATCGAGTGGCAAGACGCAGCTTCGCTAGGCAGCATGTAAATTGGGAAAATGACCAGTGGACGTTCTTTTTACAGATGAAAGCCGCTTCTGCATCAATTCAATAGATGGCAGGGCAAGACAATATCGCCGCCGAGGTGAACAAATTGAACAATTCAATTTTACTGCTACTGTCTCCTATGGTGGAGGTTCAGTCATGGTTTGGGGTGGAATATGTTTAGAGGCACGAACAGAGTTGGTAGTGGTTCTTGGCGCTTTAAATTCAGATGGCTGTATACGAGATGTTCTTCAACAGCATGTCATACCATTCGTCCCCCAAATCGGAGAAAACTTCTTGATAATGCACGATAATTCCCGCCTTCACGTGGTCGTTCAAGCTCCAACTTTTTAAATACAGTCGAAATAAGAGCAATGGATGGTCGCCAGACCTTAATCCAATCGACCATTCATGGGACATGTTGGGTAGACGATTAAGGTCCAGAATTCCCGCTGTACAAAATCCCGAGCAAGTAGCAGCAGCTCTGGTTGAGATTTGGGATAATCTTCCTCAAGAATGATCGATAATGTCATCGAAAGCATGAGCAGACGGATGACTGCTGTAATAAGAGCGCGTGGTGGTCACGCACGTTATTGAAATTATCGTTGGTGTTTTGAATCCTTATTGTTTGTTGAGTTGAGTTGTTATTGAATGAAGGCTTTGAAATCATTACATTCCTTTTTAATCATATCTGTATATTTCTAAGAAATCTTGTCACAATAGACAAATAGGTGAAAAAAGAGCAATATTCAACTTGAAGGGGAAATTATCTTAAAAAAAAAACTCAAGAAACGACACATTTTCAGATCCAATTCGAGTTTCGAGGTGGTAAAATTAATACTAATATCCATCTTTCCTTTGAAACTCTCTATTTTCTTGAATAATTGACATATCAGGATGAATAAAAAACGAGAATATTCGGAATATATTGGGCTACAATTTGGTGTTGAGAAATCGTCTCAATTATCAGTGGTTCACTCCACAGGATGTCTCAAAAAATACCGAAAAATCCGTACTTTCTTAACACCCCTGTATATGATATGAAGACGGATAGTTTGAAGGTGGTTATTTCTCAGATGTATTCGTGAAGAATAAAGCTATAATTCATTAGAAAAAAAAATTAAATCGACCGATCGGTTCGAGAAAAAATTGATGCCAAACTTAGTGTAAATTTTTCCCGTTCCCCTAATTGTGCCAGTGTGTGTATATACTATATAAGAAGGGACCTCAAAACCGATCCTTGAGGCACTCCATAACTAGTTTATGGGTATATGCATATGTTTCCTAGGCTAACATATTGTTTTCTATTTAGTTAATACATTGTGAGTAATATTGACAGATTCCCTCTGATACCCATGTTTTTTATTTTATTCAGAAGTGTTTCATGATTGACTACATCAAAAGCCTTCCGCAAATCTATGAAAATTGTTAGCACAAAATAGTTCCTATCAAGCCTGGATTAAATGTAATTTACAAAATCTATGGTAGCATTGAGGGTGCCACATAATACCATTGTAGTAGGCGTATAGTTCTCAATTACTGTGGTTGAGCCTGATTTATGTAATGGAATGACTTTTTCTGGATAGATATCATGTTGAAAAATTTTATTGATTAGGAATAATAATATTGGCATTATGGTCGTTTTCATTGTCAGTATGTCTCTTGTATTAATTTGAGCATGTCCTGGCGCTGCCCTTTTATTAAAATATTATTGAGTTATTCCACACCTCCTCAAAGTTTGTTGAATTGTAGTTGCTTATATCAACTATATTGCTTGCTATACTTTTTCCTTTATTTACTAAGTAATTATTGAAAGTATTTGCTATATCTTTAGTATCACACAGTTTTTCCTCATCCTGTGAATATATTCTATTTCATTCTTGATAATTTTCCCTTAACCATATCATTGATTGATTTCCATTGTTTTTCATTATCTCTTTTCTTTCATTTTCTTTTCCTCATTATATTTCAAAATATTCTTCTTTGATTATTTTTCTTTGATTACCTATTTCCAATATTTTTCTACGTTCTGAATTGAGCCTGAATTATTCAACAAATGTATTATTTATTTTCAATTTATATAGCCTATCCTTCACTTTCATTAAGAATTCTTTAGTTATCCAATCATTTCCAGCTCTGTCTTTCACTTTATATGAATTTTTATCCTCTTTTTAACTCGCTTGAATTGATGATATTAACGTTTGTACGCTGGAGATATCAAAAGTCAAAAGTCAAATGAAATAATCTAAGTATTTTTTTGAATAATGATTGATTCAGTACACAGTCATTTTTTATAATTTTCTTCTCTCTGGGTTTTACCTTTTTGACAACACCTACCACTTAGCTTATGTTTGTTTGAAATAACATGGTCAATTATAAAGGATGACATTTTTGAAAACTTCCCACCATCAATATCTTCGGAAAATTGAAAAGGCAAGTCAATTTCATTTTCAGGGGGACACTTAAAATTAATATATCTAGCTCTCTCGGTTCAACCCCCTAGGAGGGGTCAATTTTACCCTCAGAATCTCGAATGGGAAAGGAGGTCAATTCTCACATCAAGTGCCTTCAATTCTGGTTTATTATTTTCTGTTGAGCAGTTTCCGAAAAATGCCGTGTCAATTAGAAAACTTCCCACCCTTATTATCTTCCTTACAGTAAATAATATGAAAATCGAAAAGACAAATAAATGTTATTTTCGAGAAGGACACTTTAAATACATATTTCTAGCCGTCTTGGTTGAACCCCCTAGGAGGAGTAGATGTACCCGTAGAACCTAGGGTCCCTTGATGCAAATTGACGTATTTGACATCTTAACAGGGTACGGACAGACCATAGCTCCTTTATTGTGTATTGGCGTCCCTGACATTTTAATTATACAACATGTGAAAGAGACGAGTTGAATATGGACATCTAATTTGAAGTTATTATCTTGAGTCAACAATAACCTATTTACCTGTTGCCATAAATCAATATGTTTGCAATATCCTCCTTCGCCTGCTTTACAATAACATTGACAAATGTAAGTCCCATCCAGTTTCTCAGTAATTCCATGATGAGATTCTAAAATTGTAGAGAATCTGAAGCAAAAACTGTTGATAACCTTCTCGTTATGGGGACCATCAGTTTCACATAACATGATGTGACCAGCTTCAAAAACCTCTTCGCCTTCCTTAATTGGCCGATCACATTCACTAACACAATCCAGGATATCAGAGATCGAGATATGTCCACTTTTGCAGCCATCAATAATTCAAAATCTGACATATATCCATCAGTGATTCAGAGACAATAACACTGAAACTCGAAATACAATCCTTTGATCCAATTGTAATCAACTGAAATTTGTGAGAAAACTCAAATGAGTGCTCATCAAAACTATGTTTTTACAAGAGATCTAATGACGGAATTTTTTCCTCTATAATTATGCATTCGAATCTAACATTTGTCAACATTTTTCATGAAATTATCCATCAGGTCAGGTTAGGTTGACGTCACTTTTGACCATCTGCGACGTCATAATGACCTACAATTTGGCGTTAAAATGACATTATAAATGACGGTCGAATGTCATAGACCAATGACCGTCCTTTTCATGACTTCTTATAGATGTTATGAAAAACATATATAAGACCTCATTCAATTGACGTACATAAGACGTCCTAAAAATGACTACATATTGACCAAACATATGATGTCATATCGACGTCATTATTATCCCACTGATTATCACGTCTTTTGAAATCTAAATTCGCTTCCAGAAGTAAATATAAGGATGATTGAATAGGCACTCAATAAATAAGATAACACGTAGATATATTATATGGAACATACATTTTGCCATATTGAACAATTTTAACTTAAAAAAATATTTGCTATGATGAACATAGTGAACATATCTCGAAGAAGCAGGAAAAAGAAATGAGTGTGAGTGAGTATTAAACATTATGTGACAATACATTGTCAAGTTTCCACATTTTCATTGCTGATGTAGTTAGCTCTCTCAACATGTATTTTTAATTAATTTGATGATTGTGTTGGGTAATACCAAATTTAATTTACTTCGGTACACCAATAATATTTATGAGACAAAGTCGAAGTCCTTTCGCAACTCAATATATTCAGTTTCAGCAAATCGAGTTACAGACAATAAGTACAGCGGTTGAAATTCTAATGGAGAAATGTCCTCGATTAGAGGGATTCAATAGTTTTTATAAACGACACATCACGTGAGGCGACGCCATAAAGTAAGATAGAAATATCAAAAAATAGGACAACAATAGTTTGTGGAAATGCAAACAATACCGAAAGCACATGAGGTGTCAGCATTTTATTTTATTATGTTTATTATAACACGAAGTAACTAGAGCGATGTTTCATTCGATGTGAATAAAATATGATTTACAGTGTGATACAATAGTCTATAACATAAGTAATAAGTAATCATAGTTATAGCACTTTACAACAATTTTCCTATCAAAAATGTTTATTGAAAATTGGCATGAACTGATTACTATTTGAAAACAATACCGGCTATTTATTTGAAAACTTCTCTCTCGCAATATATCCTTCAGTAGACGGTTCTCGGAAAATCGCCGAGACAGGTAAAGAATAATTGTGATAGGTTCAAGATTTCACGTTAAAATCACCTTGCTCGTTTCATCCCCTTTGCCTCTAATGCCACCCTTTCAAAAATATCAAATGGCATTGTAGGCTATGTGGCACCTCATTGGAAATACATTTCAATTCCCTAAACGCCTATGTGTTTCATTTTCGAAATCGAACGATGAGCTTGCGAAATATCGAAGAAAATGTTTCTCTTGAAAATGAAGTGAGGAATCCGTGTACGAAGTTTGTCGGTCTTATTCTGTATTTCCAAAAATTAATATGCACATTAGACAACACACTTTTTTTTGTTTCAGATCAGCACACAGAACTACAGTGTAATGTGATTGTAATTTGTTCACGCTTGAAATTGAATTATTGAAAACCATACCGGATAGAATTTCAACTAACAATATTTGTTTCTTAATGGAAGTCAATATTTTTCTAAATTAACAAGCTGTTCCGTTTGAGAATTTCTTATAAGTATTGTACATAATAATATATCAAGTTTTATTCAATTTTTTCTGTAGATAGTAAGTTGTGCTTTATTTAACTTATATAAATATGGTGAACTATGGTGAAATGAAATAAATTGTTGAAAAATATTATATTATACATGTTTATGCGTTTCTTCGCTCCTCTTCCTAGCAACTATTTTTGTAAAATATATTTGTGTGACCAATTTGAGCAATTGATAGGTTTTAAGTCCGTTAGGTACCATGACAACCCAAAAAACTCACGTACATCCTCAGGGTACCCCAGGTGAAATGAATGAGCGGGCATTTTTCATTTGATATATATCTGGTGCAGGACGAACGTAGGTACCCGCGTCCAGGGATGCGAAGCCTTCCTGCTGTGTTTGTATACTTGAAATGCAATCAATGCTCAGATTATGTATTCCCAACATTAGAACAGATATCTCGAATATATACCGTTATGGATACCTTGCCATGTTGTGAGCCAGTTGCAGACTGCTCGTTTTCGCTACGCCCCCTATATCTCAACCTGTCAGCAGTGTCAGATATCACAGTCTCCCACACTTATCTGTTACACCATTCCTAATATTTGTACTTGAATAATTTCCTATTGTAAAAACTCACAATTACATATCGTCGGTGTAATTAGCAAAGTGCGTAACTCCACAATGACTAACTTTTCAGGAGAGCAATAAAACTGAATGACTTCACTCCAAGATTCGAATCATTTGGATGAGAGCGAAAAATTCGTAACTCCATGATAACGATTATAAACCCAATTTCAATTGATTTTTATTGATATTGATCATTATCAAGCATGCATCATTCAGTATAAATGTTTTAATTACCTTTTCCAATGTGAGATTGCATATTTTTCCACTATAATAAACCAGAAGTTGATGATGTTTTGCCGAACATGTGAACAGTAGACAAGGAGATACGAATATTGCCGAACATAAAATGGCGCGTTGGAGTTACGACTTTTTCTTTATTGAGTTTATTCTGCTGGAGAAATTTATTTGGAGATTGACCGTTTCCCAACATATTCGTTGAATTTTTTCCCAACAGATGGCACAAAAATGTCATTTTGACCCAATATTGGAGTTACGCACATTGCTAATTACACCGACGATATGTAATAATACCACCATTTACAATAAATCAACAATTACCGTATGAACTGTTTACTTCAGTTAAAGTGATAATTTTATGAATGGGTACTCATCAATTTAACTCTGATCAATGTGCTCTATCGTCTTCCTGCTTTCTACACATATGTAGTTGTAATATCCTGATTACTATACAGGGTGGGGCATTAGTGTGTCGGAGCTCCATTGCTCAAGTTCTATGATAGCTAAAAACTTGATTCAAAAACGAATGTCAATGAAACAACGAGGTCCGTAACTAGAAACTATTGCTGCATATACAGGGGGCTTCGGAATAAAATATCTAGAGGGCCAGGATCACTTTTTTCCCTATATATTAGTACATTTTTTTAAGCATTCCTGTGACCCTATCAACTCCTATAATATTGTCGACTATTTCTTGATAATTTCAAAGTTATTGATTTTTTTGTCGAAATAATGTCATCTGCAGATCCATACCGAAAAAATTACTGTAATCACAATAATGGAGTTCAAGAGATAATAATCATGATATCATTTGATGGAAGGATGCGTGATATTTCTGTAGAATTTTCATGCCCTCAAATTATAAAGGGTGGCTAACAATGTTTTATGGAAGTGATTTTTCTCGAATTTTTCAAAGAAACACGTCAGATATTTGAATCCCATTTGGTGTAAAATCGAAACACGAACATATTTTATCTCAACATCCATATATTTATTCGTAACCATTTTTGAATTATTGAACTTCGAAAACTATAGGTAGGCCATTTTCATCGATACACATTCTCATCTGTTATTAAAACATCAAAAGTTCAATTAATAATTCAGTAGACTTGTTTTTCCATTGTAAGAATTGATACCAGAATCACAGCGAATAGAAATACTTCATATGCTAGTTATTCACAAAGTGAAAAAGAAAAAATCCCATTTTGCATAATTGTAAATGACTATTCTGGTTTTGTTTTCATTGTTCTATGAATTCATGAGATATTTTGAAAATGGAAATTGTTTCATTTTTCACTTTGTAATATGAAATATTTCTGATGTTTGCTTCGATTCCGGTTCGAATTATTTTTATAAAAAAACTGGTTTACTGATTTATTGATTGGACTTTTGATGTTTTAATAACAGGTTAAAATGTGTATCGATGAAAATGGCCAACCTGGAATTTTCAAAGTTGAATAATTCAAAAATGGTTACGAATATCAACATGGATGTTGAGATAAAATATGTTCGTGTTTCGATTTTACACCAAATGGCTTAAAAATATATAGGGTGTTTCATTTGAAAAACTCGAGGAATCACTTCCAAAAGTTCCGAATTGAAAAAATATTTTTAGCCACCCTGTATAATTTGGGGGCATGAAAATTCTACAGAAATATCACTCATCTTCTCGTCAAATGATAATATGATAATTATCTCTTAAACTTCATAATTGTGATTACAGTGATTATTTCTTTTGTCTATTAAATATCAGTCATCAACTATCAATGATACTTTTGTTTACTGTTTGATAGGACCAATCAACACGCCCTATAATAGTCACAGACTATTCGGCATAATACCTATATATTAATGAACCTGTGCATCTGACAGTACTCTAAATAAATATATCTTAAACGTCAAATAAAATCAATAGTGTTGAAGCTGTATAAGTATTTGAGAAATGAATCGATTTGGAGAAACTATAAACGAAGAGATAGATAGGATAAATTCTCGTCTACTATTATTGACTACGTTTGTACGAATATAGAAGATGTATCGGTTTCAATTACCAATCCAGGATTATCGGATCATGAAGCCATTTTGTGTCGTATTCCCAATCTGAAACATACAATCACAAATAGTAGAAAAACATATGGACACATTTATAGTAAAAAAAACTCCGCGCAATTTAAGCACCTTTGTCAAAATATAGATTGGAATTCCATGCCTGTAACAGAAGATCCAGTGAATGCATTTCATAAAATTATTGTAGAAAAATTCATACAGGCGTTTCCATTACGTTTGAGAATAAACAAAAAATCAAAACCTTGGATTACGAAAAGTATAAAAAAATCATCCGGGAATTTACGTTGCCTGCACACTATCAGGAAATTCCATAGTGACAACAACTTTTTCATGACATATTTCAATAGATACCGCAGTATCTATAAACAGACCATAAAAATAGCTAAAAATCTCTACTATAATGACAGAATTAATCAGGCAAAAAATAAACAGAAAGAGATATGTGGGCAATAACTAACAACCTGCGAGGAAAAAATAGTAAACAACATCCAGAGATGAACATAAATCTTAATTTGTTAAATGAGTATTACTGTTCAATATAGCTAATCAACTAACACGAAATACCAACTCAATAATTGACCCGATTGTGAACTTGCAAAAAATAGGTTCCCCAACAAACTCATTGTTCTTATATGATACAGATTTAACTGAACTGAAGTCGGTAATTAATGACATAAAGAAGAAAAACTCCTCTAGTGAAGATCACTTATCAGCAAAGTTGATGTCGGAACTTCCTGACGAAGCCCTAAGGGCTCTGGTAGCAGCTATAAACAGGTCTTTTGCTACAGGGGTATTCCCTTCCAGTTTAAAGACCGCAATATGGTAATACCTCTTTACAAAGGAGGAGGTGCTATTGACGACCCAAGTAACTTCAGACCAATTTCAATACTGTCGACGCTATCAAAAATCATTGAAAAGCTAGTTAAACAGTTAAACACAGAGTAATGGGTTTTTTGGAGAGATACGGTATACTGGTTAATGTACAGTATGGATTCCTAAATAAAAAAAGCACTACCGATGCTATTTATTTCGACTTCCTTGAAAAAATATACATGAGCAACAATGAAAAGGAGGCGGCTGCAGCTGTATTCCTTGACTTATCCAAAGCCTTTGATTGTGTGAGTCATGAGATTCTAATGCAGAAACTTTTTCATTATGGCTTCCGGGGGAATGCCTTGGAATGGTTCAGATCGTACCTTACAGACCGAAAGCAAAAAATATCATTAGGTTCGTATAGTTCAGAGATAAAAACATTTGTACGAGGAGTCCCTCAAGGGTCGGTCTTGGGCCCTATCCTCTTTTTGCTCTATGTAAATGATATGGCTTTTCTGGATATATCTGGAAGGTTTACACTGTTTGCGGATGACACTACTGTTTCGTGGCACAATGCAGATCGTGCCACCCTGGTCCAATCCATTACAACAGATTTAGGAAAAATTGAAACGTGGTGTGATGCGAATATGCTGTCAATTAACATTTCGAAAACAAATCTGATAACATTTAAGTGGGACTTAGATCAGAATTAGATCAGATAACTCTAGGATCTCAATTGATTACGAGCAAACCTGTTCCAAAATTCCTAGGCATACACATTGATATAGTACTTTGAAATTTGAGTCCCGTATAACAGCTCTAAAAAAAAACTGTCATCTGGTTGTTACGCCGTCAATGTTATATTCCGTGAACTTGGGCTGTCAGCTTCACTTAACGCCTATTACTCGTTCATTGAAGCTCATTTACGGTATGGAATTCCATTCTGGGGGAATTGCAATCAAACTCTGTTGCAAAGTATAATCGTTCTACATATTATGGCGAACGAAACGTAATTATGATCCGATTCTATTCAAAAAATCAAAATTAGTATCTGTGGATTTCCGGGGTCGGAGATTATAATTATTTTGTCAAAATTGGGATATTCAAGATGGCGGATCCAATATGGTGGACGAGTTTTGTAATGAAGATCCGATTCTATTCAAAATTGGTATCTGGGGGTTTTCGGGGTAGGAGATAATGATTGTTTCGTCAAAATTGAAAAATTCAAGATGACGGATCCAATATGGCGAAAGACATTATAGTTTATATAATTATTACTCTACCACAAATAGAAACTATGTAGGATGCAAGAGTGAACAT